TTACTGCTAAGGTGCACGGGCAAGCTGGACGAGATTACAACGATAATTTAATCCCTTTATATCCCACTTGTTCCCCCTTCTCCGGGTATTATTATCGTCATTCTTGTCCAGCACGCCTGTGCACCTTTGCAGTAATTCCATTATCGTCGATAAAACCTTTAAATGCGGGCCGTTCAACCTCGTTAGTGTTGGACTGCGGTGGCAGCTGTTAAAACCCATTTGCTTTACCGACGTCTAACTCCCGGTTAGCCCAGTTGGTAGAACGCTCCGCTGGAAATGGATAGGTCCCTAGTTCGATACCAGGACCAGGCGGATTTTTTGTCTTTTCAGTCGCTCATCGACCATTTAGTTGTGCTTCGAGTTTTGTGTTTGTACAAATTACTGGCCGCTTTTTAAAAACCATATATTCAACAATGCCGACAAACACAGCACTGATCGAACAGGAAAAAAAAAATCTAGGGGGAAGGAAACACAGGCACAGTTCATGAGCTTGGGGACAGAGTTGCGGTTGTCCCTCCCAGGTGTGTCACTTTTGTTTCCAGGTTTTCAGTAAGATTCAGTAAGTAATAGAATCGGTGTGAGTTGACTATTAGTTCAGTTACTTATGGCGGAGCTTATACTTGCATGCCCCCTGGATGTTGTTAACATCGAGGGGACATGCGCATGACCAGAATACTCGCAAGAGGTCCCGGTACCGAGAAGAGAAGGAAGCAATTTAAAGGGTGTAGTTCTCGACGAGACAAGCAGCCCCGTGAACAGTTCAGGGTGCATTCTGTGCCATCCCAAAGTGATAAGTGCAGATGAACACTCCTTCATTAAAATATTTTTTTTTCGAAGACAGTTTTAATTTTGGATTCCTCTGTTTTGCCCGAGTTTGATAAAAAGCGGCTCGGGCGTTATTTTTCGGAGTTTATCTGCATGTACCGAAAGCCCACAAAACTACTATTTTTTTTTCTTCCATATTCAAATTATTCGTTTAGCTTTAAACTGGAAAAGGGAGAAAGAGAGATAAAAGCAACGCATGACACGGACCCCTTGTTGATGTAAGCAGAACACGTCGACATTTCGGTCTTCTTAAGGCTGACTTTACTAAGCCGCCCCTTTCAATAGATGGTTAGTTTAAGCAGCGCTTCTGGAATATCGGACCCCGCCTACGTGAATACCAAAGCACGATATAAGTATGAGGTTTTCGTGGGTCTTTTTTGTGTTTTCATTTTCAAAACTAGAATAAGTTAAGCCTAAATCCGGTCATGGATCACAGGCATACGGAGTCCGAATTATCCAAAGGGACGTCAGGACTGATTACCGCTATTTTTAATTTCGTGGTTTCGCTGGAGGGACATCGCGCCTGAGGGCTACGGCGCTCGGCACAGAAATGCTGAGTTTGCATAATTTGTTTACATTATTATTTTTTTTAAATACAAATAACAATCTGAAATTGAAACGATGTTGTTTTCCTTGATAGAAAATGCTCGCATAAAACTGACAATTTTGTAACGAATCGTTTAGTCCAGAATTATTTCGTGACTAGAATATTTTAGTACCATGCATTTAGGGACACTTCGATTTCTTAATTTATGAATCTTATAAACGCAGCAGTTGTTTTAGAATATGGTAGCTTTTCTTTTACATATACGAATAAAAACAGAAAGTAGGACTGGCTGTTTATTAAAAGTCCATTTCGGTAATCAAGTAAATATTTCATGAATCAATAGCGCCATGTCGGGAATACTTGAGACAAATAGTAGGAAAATTCAAATTTTGCTAAAATTGTTTACGCAATCATAACGTTCATTTAAGAAAAAGAAAACCGTAGAAGAACAGAATTCAAGGTCATTAGTACAACTATATTCCACTTCCGACATACCTTCAAGCCTTTTCGTTTTTTTATTCTTCTCGTCATTCTCAATAAGATGCTATTTAAAACTAATTTCTGCCGTACAAACCTCACGACTTGAGGCGGCTGACGTTGCTTCATGAGCCACGTAGAATTTATTTCAGAGAAGGCACGTCATATCCAAACGGAGTCACACGAATAACGAATATTTTATTTCGCCAAAATGCTCCCAACGTATCACATTTGTAGAGGTGAGATATGCCCTCTGTATACCGACACTTCATTTCCCAATTTATTTTTGCCTCAGAATGCATTAAAATATGCCAAGGTGCCACAGGGAAGTCCTTTGGGGTCCATGTTTTTGAAAAGTTACGGAAATGATTTAGGAATTTTGCCGTTACAGTCTAAGATATATCAGTATTCTGATGGCACCATACGATAACTATAATGATTCAAGGAGATATAAATCCATTATTGGTATGGTTTAATTCAGATGTTATTTCAATTAATGTTGCGAAAATTAAGCTTATGTGCTTCCGAAATGCTCACAAACGAATTTTATTGACACTTACGATTTTATATTATTCGTCTCAGTGTTAGAATTGTCAATGCAAACCTTTGCCTTATAATCATAAATCTGCCAAATATTTAGATTTACATGTTGACGATTACTTTATTTGTACATACTGCTGGCCCGTGGGGCCGTGGCAGGGAGGAACAAACACACACACACACAAAAAAAAGAATATGACTCATACCTCCAACAGAGCTACGAACAATAAAGTAATTACAAGTTTAAATGCCATGGAATCGACAAGTTGAACATGTTACTAAAAGACTGCGCGCGGTTTCAGCTTATTTATTTAAGATCAGAAGTATGAGGAGCATGAACATAATATACTCGTGTTCAGATCTTTAGCGGAATCTATTGTACGAAAGAAGATTAGTTATATGATCACTGTTTGCGGTACAAAAATAATCAATAGACAGCATTTTAAAACATATGATAAATAACAGTTCATACAGAACATCTTATAAAATATTATAACTAAAAAAAAAGGAACTCAAGATTTAAAAAAAAACTTTAATATATATGTTACGCTTATAAATTATTATTATGATTCTACTTTAAGCTCGAGGTTCGCAAGGAAAAAGACGGTGTACAGAGAGGTTTGAGATACCTAGAGTATATACGCAAAACGGAAAATATGTATAAAGTATAATATATAGTATACCTTCCTTCCTAAGCTCCTTAAGAATGCTGAAACAATAACTAAAAAAATGGTGCCCCTTCTATGTTCCTTAATATTGTGACAGGAATTTAGAGAATTTTATGGCTTTTGCATCTTTGTTCTTGACTGATTGTTTTCGGCCTACACACTAAGAAATGCCTGCGCGTCTACTTACCCGCAGAGCACTCAAAGAGCCCATCATTGCTATCTAGGAAATCAGGTCAGCAAATGATGAGGCGGAACATCCGTTTAGACCTTACACTCTAAAAAAAGCCCGTGAGTCTGCTTTCCCGCACAACACTCGGAGAGCCAATCATCGCAACTTACGGAGGCAGCTTAGCGAATGACAATGCCGAAACATATGTTTAGACCAAAAAACGCAGTCTGAGTTGTGACATTAAGCAATGCAAGCGTGACGTTTTGCATTGCTTAATGTCATAACTCAGACTGCGTTTTTCGGTCTAAACATATGTTTCATCATTGTCATTCGCTGAGCTGCTTCCGTAAGTTGCGCTGATTGGCTCTCCGAGTGTTGTGCGTGAAAGTAGACGCACAAACATTTTTAGACTGTAAAATGAAGTCTGGGCTGTGGCATGACGCAATGCAAATCGTCATGCGTGCATTGCGTAATGCCACAGCGCAGACTTAATTTTGGGGTCTGAACAGATGCTCCGCCTTATCATTCGCTGAGCGCCTTATCATTCGCTGAGCTGATTTCCTAGATCGCAATGGTTGGCTCTTTGAGTGTTTTGCGGGTAAGTAGACGCGCAGGCATTTCTTACAGCGTGTCTATAGTCGGTAACAGGCTAAGAATTGAGTGCGCGCTCCGTTCGTAGCACACACAGCCGAAGCCTGCTGAAAGACAACAAGCGCGTGCTGGAGGCGGAGCTTCCACTAAAGTCTTAGCCTGTCACCGACTCTAAACGCATTTACTGATGAAACTTCGTAGCACCAAAAGGGCTACGGAATTCTGACGAAAATTCAAGCAGTGACGCACTTTCTTTTAGGATGTTTTCTTTAATTTAATGATGGTCCACGTGTCGAAAGAAAAAAAAATAATCAAAAAGAGTACATTCTCATAACCCGCCTTAAAAAAAGAGGTACTCCGTCAGGCGCCGTGCGAGTTTATAATTTCGGGTGCGACCGTGGCGTACCATTTGCCATTTTGGTGTAGAAGTACCTCAACGGTCCAGCGCAAAAAGCTATCAACGTCGGTCGGTGGCTGTGCGCGGCTTTATGGGACCCGATCTATTGAAGAACGGGAGCAGCAGCTGCAGGTTTGTTGCAGCAATATATTGCGATAAGCAAATGTAACCGTACAAATTCAATGCCGCATCGTGAAAACACGGCCATCCTGCCATACGTGCCTCACACAAAACCAGCGAGACCATCGCTTAAAGAGGTACTAAACTTTCTCACCCCCCCCCTTTTTTTTCTCTCCAAAAGTAATAAAACAAACAAAAAAATGTTTATGTGTTACACCAGAAACACCAGAAAACTAACTTCTCCAGAAAAATAAATGTAACGGGACATTTACGCTGCGAGACTCGTTTTGAGGTGGGAGCTTTTCCGAAAAATTCTTCTACCCTTATTTCGAGACGCCCAGGAAGACAGAAACATCTTGCGGAATCGCTGAAATGAGTCACGCCACGTAAATATTCCGCTAACCTTATTGTTTTTTTTTTATTTCGCTGAAAATTTATGATGTGACACATGCGCCGTACACAGGCACTTAAAGTATTGCGATATATCTTTTTTCAGTTTACTGTTTTTTTTTTTTTTTTTTTTTTAGAGGACGGAAAGACGCGCTTGCCAATGTTCGTATATCAAATGCATATAAATGCAAACGCAGGACGACAGCAGGCACCTCGTACTGTCGGGTTCTGGCCGACATTAGGCAGAACCAGGATATTCAGGACATCATAACTCACGTCTTTCCAGATATTGTAGTGGCTCATGAAGCAGCCAATCTCCCCAGCAGTGATGGGCCTGCAATGAGACAAAAAAGGACGGTCTTTGGCTTTTTTTTTTTTTTTCTAGCCACTATACAGTCAAAATTATCTTCCTTATTACCCTTCCTCCCTTTTTTTTGCACGTCCTCTATTTGTCATGTTTGCGAAAGTTGTTCCCCGTCGCGAAGGGCAATATTTCCTCATGGGCCATTTCCTGTTCCACTCTGTAAACAACGATCGCGTAGTTCCTACCCCTCTTGCCCCGGGGTAGCTCTGCCAAAGTAGCCGATGGCTCTGATGAAATAAATAAATGTTTTCGCTCGCTCTCCAGCACGCGAGGCGCGTTTTTGCTTGCTTATTCGACGTGTTTTGTGTCCTTTGAACACACGTTCACGTATACGCGAAGAGGCGTTCAAACACGGCACGTTTCTCTTGTCCGCGGTAAATAAATCTACCCAAAAGAAAAAAAATAATTAATGTAACGAGATGATGCGGCTCATTATAAAAGGATATAAACTCTGTTGGGCTTGCACGACCCGATATTCCGTCGTCTTGCTGCAATGCTTCGTGACGGCCTCTGTCACCTGCCGGTATGTTCAGCACACCGGCTGCCATGCATTTGTTTGTCTTTTGTGCTGGTAGAACGAGCCACATTTTTTTCCTCGGAATATTTCTTAAATAGACGCCGTATAGATCCGTAGTTCTCACAAACTTGTACACACACGCACAAAAAAAAAAAAAAAAGAGTTGAATGGCAGTGTACATAAGGCGAGCCGAAGGATGCTGGAAATGCAGTCTTCGGGAAAAGTACACTCGGACGTATGAATCACAAAAGGCCTAGTGGTGGGTGCATATCGTATCTATACGAATAAATCAAATAGCCCATTTTCCTTCGTTGTTGACTCATCTAAAGCCCGGGCCCCAGAATAATAATAAACCGCTGTCAAAGCTTTCTTCTTTTTTTCTCTTTAGCTGGGCTTTGTCAACTATAGTAAAGTGCCACCCAGGACACACACCGACTAACACACACAAACACATGCACGTACATCCACCAACACACGCATAACACGCACGCACGCACACACATACCAAAAAAAAGAGCAAATAATGCGGAAGTCATTCTTCTGGCTCTGCGCTAGCGTGTGGTGTACTCTTGTTTCCCCGGATCGGTTTCCGTCGTGGTGTGTTCCAATACAAAGAACCCACTCAAGATGGCCCCGTTTAGGGAGTCTAGGGAATCGACCCCAGACTCCTCGGCCATCTTTCCGCCTCTTCCCAGTATTTCGGGACCGGAGCATCAGCTGATATCGACCACCGTGCCACTGCGTAAAACACAGGGCGAGCCTCTTCGCTGTGGACTCCTGGGAGAGTAGTGCCTGTCCACGACTCGATCATAAAAGCTCCGCTTTCTTGTACTAAGGAAGAAAAGCGAGTTGTAACGCCTTTTCCCGAGCCTGTCCTTCGTGATGTCCGCAACAACCATAAAGTTGCGGTCCAGGCCAATACGACAGCTGACCTTCGCATTCGGTCAGTGCCCAATGAATATTGAAGCCGGTACTTGAAATCCCAGGATGGTGGTCACGGCTGTGGTGAAACATTATGCATTATTTTTCTTTTTTTAATATAATTTGTTCTTTGCGTAATATTTCATCGGTATTTTACTTTACCAGTTTCGTATCATGCCAACCACACGCCGCAAAACTTGTGTTGCCAAACTAGCCTAGCGTTCACATTAAGTTAAGCATTCCCTTAAATTTAACGTTTTTTTTTTTTGTTTGTAGCTGCGTTTAGCGAGATGCTTTAACACAGAATGTGTTTTTTCTATGAGAAAATCGTCATGAACGAGCGTCATGACGGAGCATTGTACACAGAGTTAAAGTTATTTATGACGTAAAACAAAAAAAAGTAATGACACAAAATAAAAAAAATAAAACGTATATATGAATAAAAAAAAGAGCTCGAACCGGTAGTAGCCGAATACCATAGAGTATAGACCGTTTTCTTTATAAACGCCACTAGGCGGTGCCCGGGTCTTTGAAATTCCAGCCTAATGCGGTGTTTTTAATATTCTCGTGAACCAACTTTGCCTCCTCCAAAACGTTAAATCGTACAGCCAAAGGCCTTCGCTTAATCTCCGACTTTGTTGTCTGTATAGAATTTATGCTTCCTAGCACTGGTGACATAAGCAAGCTCGACAGGCTCGCAAAGACGGAGCGATCGGAAGTCACTTGGGACGCAAGCAGTTTTTAATGTTTCTAAAGGCCCGTTCACACTCTTGCGACCGAGTAAGACCGAGAGAAACCAGACGAGTTTTTAAGCCTCTTGAGATCTCTTAGGACCAGCTCCGCTGCAGCGCATCCGGTCCTAAGAAGTCGCAAAAGGCTTAAAGACCGGTCTGGTCTCTCTCGGTCTTACTCGGTCGCAAGAGTGTGAAAGGCGCTTAAAGAACAACGAGGTAGAGGGCCTTAGAGCGATAAACTGGCAGTTGAAAGTAACCCCCATTTGGCCGTCGCCATGTTGCACATTTTTTAGCATTAGTTTTACGTCTAGATATTAACGAAGTACTGCGCACAAATAATTGCTTATTAATCTTTAATAACAGCACCGACGACATAAGTTACGTTTTGTTAGTTTTTTAAGTCCAAAAAGTACTTTTACGACAAAAACTCGGGCAACTTCGATATGCCTCCGCCACATGCCGTCAGTCGCGGTGCTGTATTATAGGTTTTTATTCGAGCTAGACACGGACCTCCGGAGCTAACAGTATTGAAAATATAGTTTATCATGTTTTTAGTGCGATTGCAACACAAATCTCGGAACTGTTTTGCGTAAAACCCTCAAGATTGGGTCACGTGTCTAGTGGTCAAAATTATACAACATGTCGGCAGCCAAGTGGGGGCCACTTTTGCCTCGCAAACCAGTTTACCGCTTTAAGCCCTTTTACCTCGTTGGTAAACAGTAAAAGGATAGTCACTGAGCCGTGTAGCATATCGTCTCTGGAAGCATTGCTCTCCCAAAAAAACGTGCCGGCGAGAGCGGTGTAACGTCATACCGTGTTTGTGCTCGCCTCATCAACGTCACGCATTGCCTAAAAGCCATACAAGGTGGCGCCTGTGCGGTGCACTGGTTCGCTTGGTTTCGTTCTGACTGACATCTCTGGTGCACAATAAATAAACTAGCACAAACCTCACACGGAGTGTGGTTTGTGTGGTCAGCATGATCAAGCTTGCGTACATTTTTAGAGCGCAGCTCTTCGGCGCCCGTTTCGGGCTTGAGCGGCGTCGCCGTCGCCGTCGGCGTAACCGCGCAGTGCATTATGGGAAGCATCCCATAATGTACCGCGGTGGCGCGCGCATTGCATTATAGGACGTTTTCCATAATTCGCGGCGCGGGAGAGAGGAGGGGGAGAGGAAGGAGGGAGGAGGAAGATAGAGTAGGAGGAGGGAGGAGACGAGGGGGAGGAGGCGAGGAACACGGGAGGAGTTGATGAGCACGGAGGAGGAGAGGGTACGGATGAGGAGGAGGGGCATACCGTCCCCTCCGTGAACTCCCTCCTCCTCCTCAAGAGCCGCGCTCTAATTCGGCATTACAGGGAGTTCTAAACGTCTTCCATTTTTTTTATGTAGTTGCTATCTTCACTAGGTAACAATTACTATACCTACTTTTTTTCGTTGCATAAGAGATAGCATAGCCGCGGCTTTCCAGAGGCCAAATAAATAATAAATACTACTTCTACTAATACTCGTACTAAAAAAAGAGAAACAAAGAAACTTTCATACACTAGAGTGATGAAGGTTGTACCCGACTCCAAATGTTTCAAGCTCCAACAAATCAGGCTCAATATATTAAGCGACAGCACAAAATGCATTTTGCATGTTACACAAGTAACCTTCACACCAATGTTACGCCACGGTCACACTGGCGCTTTAACCGTATCCGCAAAGCGGTTGCAAACGGGGTTGCTCCAACATGCAATACAAATTCACGCGCATTTGATGATGAAACCGGGCGGATCCGCTTTGGGATTGCGATTCGAACGCCAGCGTGAATGCGGCCCGAGGAAGGATACAGGAAGAACATGAGTAAGTTTTATTTTTGACATCCATAATCTCCAAAAGGCGCAATTCCATAAAAGCATAATGGCAACAAACGAGTACAGCCGTGCGATGGGATCTCAACGCAGGCTAATGAATACTTAGCTTTCTGTGTTTGTAGTGACATTGATCTCGATACAGTTTCTTTTGGTGCTCGCGGACGTTTTTCTTTCTTTATTACTTCTTCTGTGGCACTTGTTATTCCGCGGGACTGATGTTAAGAACAAATGTTGTACGTCAGTGATTCCTGAGCGTTTCAATTTCAGTTTCTGAACAGCAAGATTTCACAGCTAATACAAATTAAACACAACCAAGACTAAAAACAACAACAAAAAATGCATTTCAGCAAGATTAGCTGTTCATAATGACTAAAGTGAGTCTGTTTGTTAAAGCACCTTCTCAAAACAAGGGCAGCGTTTTGTACACCGCAACTCTCCGTTTCGACTAACCGCTGTGCTGGAACCTGCTCTTTATATCGTCGACGCCACCACAGAGAAGCCAAGTTTTCGCTCTTTCATTTTCCCGCGAGCCGCTTTGTGAACACCCCTTGGGACCTTTTTGTGCGGGACCGTTTTGTCCGGGACAATTTTGTCCGGGACCATTTTGCCCAGGACTATTTTGTTCGGGGCCATTTTGTCCGGATTCCAGACATCAAGAAGTCTCAATGGAAAAAGAAGTTTCGTGAATATTCTTTTTTTAAATTTAAAAGCAAATACTGCTTGCGAGCTTTCTTGAATGCGAAAAAAGGTAAATGATTGGGGTTATGGGGATATTTATACAGCGTGTAGTTGGTCAGCCATTAAAGTTGCGACGAGTCACACGCTGTAGATGAGCAATTCGGCCAGTGCAGTACAACCGCTAGCCTGGGGTCTTTAACGTGCACCGCGCAGTAGTGATACAGGACCGCACGCCGGCACGATGCTCATCCAGATCGAAACGGGCAGGGGTGGGGCTCGAACCCAGGATTCCTGGGTTCTTTATGGTGGACACCATAAAGATGCCGTTGGCCACGCATCTGTTTGGGATTCAAGATCATCTACCAGACAATTTATTTCATTCAGTCGTGATTCGATTCCAAAACTGAATCAGGACTGCTAGGAGTTCGGGGAACGCCATTCGTATGAAGTTTTGGAAGTAAGTTTACCTGTTGTGATAAGGGTCCGCATACTCTGGTAGCATCTGAATCCCATGTTCTGCAATGTAGCTCTCGTTCAAAGACCTGCAAAGAGACACAAAACAAGATCAGCTCCGAAGTTCTTTGCATGGCTGTCGATACGTATTTGAAAACTGCTCCCAGCTTCACATAATTTTGTGGAAAGCGTGGAGCGTTAAATCAAACAACAGGAACTTCTCGTAGAAAGCCCGGCAGATAGCAGATGGGCAGGCTCAGTAACAGAGGCAGAACGATCGCCAAAGGGTAATTATTATAAAAAAACAAAACTGATACAAGGCGCACACACACAAAAAAATAGGGGAACACAACAAAGAAAGGTTCTATGTTTTCACCAAAGGGCTTTACATAATATAAATAACAGAAACAAAATGGGTCAAACAATTAGAGTATTGGTGGCGATGAGCCCTCCCAATGCCATTTCAATTAAACTTGCCGTGACAATAAACCAAAGTGCAGCCACAAAAAACACAAAAAACACACACACACCACAGTTTGAACGCACAGAAAGCACCGTTCAACATTTGAGTTCATTGAAATTTTATGGTAGAGGTGTTGCTATCTCATATAATGCATATAACGAGTCTACAATAAATCATCCCCCCCCCCAAAAAAAAAGAATAGTTTTATTAGTAAGAAACATCCAAGATAAACCTCATCTTCAAATGTTACTCAACGTCAGCTGTAAAAAAAGTGAAAGCCGTTTACAAATCCCTGTAACGCCGAATTGGAGCGCAGCTCTTGAGGAGGAGGAGTGAAGGGTACTGAGGGAAGGGTAGACCCCTCCCCCTTCTCCTCCTCCTCCCCTCATTCTTTAATATGCTCCGGGGGGGGGGGGGGGTCACGTGACCTCGGGGGGTGTGTGTCACGTGACTTCGGGGAGGGGGTCACGTGACCTCGGGAGGCGTGACCTGGGGGTCACCTCAAGGTCACGTGACCCCCAAGGTGACCCCCACGTGACCTTGGGGGCACGTGACCTGGAGGGGTCACGTGACCTCGGGGGGTCACGTGACCTGGGGGTCACCTTGGGGTCACGTGACCTTGAGATGACCTTGGAAGGGGTCACGTGACCTCGGGGGTCACGTGACCTTGAGGAGGAGACCACGTGACCTCGGGGGTCACGTGACCTCAGAGGGGTCACGTGACTTTGGGGTCACGTGACCTTCACAGGGTCACATGGGGTCATCTTGGGGTCACGTGACCTTGAGATGACCTTGGAAGGGGTCACGTGACCTTGGGGGTCACGTGATCCCAAGATGACCCCACGTGACCCCCAATGTCACGTGACCTTAGGGGTCACGTGACCTTGAGATGACCTTGGGAGGGGTCCGTGACCTTGGGGGTCACGTGACCTTGGGATGACCTTGGTGACGCCGACGCCGCTCAAGCCGGGAACGGGCCCCTAAGAGCTGCGCTCTAAAATGCTTTAATTTGCAGATACTGCGCGTTTAGTCATGCCTGTAGAAGACCCGAACCGCAACGCCGCAGAGTTCGGCATTTTAGGTCGCCCTCACTCACCCTCACCCTCACAGCTACACTCACCCTCAACCACTCACTCGCCCTCATCCTCACAGTCACACTCACCCTCAGTCCTTCACTCACCCTCACTGAACCTCACGGCCCTCACGCCACTCACCGCCCCTCACGCACTCATAGCCCTCACGCCACTCACCACCCTAACGCCCCTCACGCAACTCACCGCCCTCACGCACTCATACCCCTCACGAACCCATGGCCCCCTCACCGCCCTCACGCACTCATGGCCCTCGCGCCACTCAACGCCCTCGCGCACTTATGGCCCGTGCGCCACTCACCGCCCTCACGCCCCTCACGCCACTCACCGCACTCACGCTACTCAGGCACGCTTCAGACGGGGCAATTTCGCCCAGAAACTTGACGTCGCAACACCAGCAACACGGGCTGCCCAGGTTCACATGCAGCAACCAACTGCTGCAATTTGCGATCATCATCATGACATTTTATTTTTCTTGCACTATTTAGACAAACAATGGCGCGCCGTAAACGTGTTTTTATGCATTTAAATCTAGTTGAAAATACTAATGCATCTTTTTGAAACAGTTTATTTCCAAAAACAATCAATTTTAAACCAGAGCCAAGTCTTTTGTTGTCATCATCACCGGCACGAGGTATCACGTAAAAATATCGCGTCCCTGATTGGATGCAGCCGCTTCAAACGTCTTCAGATTGCTCCGAGTTGCTTGCTTGTTTCGAGCCGGCCTCGATCTCAGCAATTCGTGTCGACCTAGGGAAAGCTAGGGAACAACCCGCCAGCAACACCAAAATTGATGAGAAAGTAGCTCCGTCTGAAGCGGGCCTCACACACTCATTGCCCTCACGCCCCTCACGCATGCATGGCCCTCACACCCCTCAAGCACTCACCGCCCTCACGCACTCATACCCCTCACGACCCTCATGCCACTCACACACTCACCGCCCTCACACCCCTCACGCACTCACCGCCCTCCCGGCCTTCACGCTGTCATACCCCTCACTGCCCTCACGGCCCTCATGCCACTCACACACTCACCGCCCTCACGCCCCTCACGCGCTCATGGCCCTCACACCGCTCACGCACTCACCACCCTCACGGCCCTAACGCACTCATGGCACTCACCGCCCTCACGCCCCTCACGCACTCATGGCCCTCACACCCCTCACGCACTCAGCGCCCTCCCGGTCTTCACAGCCCTCACGGCCCTCACTCACCCTCATGAATTTTCCTGGTTCCTGGCTCGGTCCTCACAGCCCTCGCGTCCTGTTTGCCTATCCGTCTTCGTAATAGTCTTTATTGTGCGCTTTCACTACTTTCAACCTACTCACCCTCACCTCACATGCGAAGATGAGGGTGAGTGAGGGCCCTCATGAGTAAGGTTTGCCGAGGTATACACTGCCGTCACTGCTTTCCAAGAACGTTTAATGCAGTTTGTTAATATCGATTGCGTCCATGTTTAGACAATGGAAAACTAGTCTGCCTTAAAATGTGGCGAATCAGGTACCCACCATAAACAGCCCATAAGTTAGCACAGTGCGACCTCGGAGTCTTTGATTAGGACGTATCACGCCGCAGCGATCACGAGAAAATAATCCCGGTAACCCACTCGCAGATATCAAGACCGACAGGAGCTGTACTTGAAACAGCAAATTATCCATTTTTGTTCTTGAGGAGTATCAAACGCTGGCCAGCAGACGTACAAAAGTATTAATAAAAAAGAAAAGAGAAGCAAACGTAGTGAAGTGAGAGTAAAACAAAAACACATCGGCAACAGCAATATTTCAGCGAGAAGGGCAAGCAGCGGCTGGCAAAGGGCGATAGTGTCTCATTGTTTCAACGCGCGTCGATCGAGTCCAAAACCGAAAATTGGAAAGGAGCCCGAGGAGGAGCGACAGTGAAGAGCGTGCGGGGAGGAACGTCAGCGTAGAAAAAAAGAATATCCCCCGTCGAGATGGGCGGCCCGAAAGCCTGGCCTTCAAAGCGGGCGCCACGAGAGAAGCGGAGCGCGGCTATCGGAGCCAAGACGACGCCCGCTGTGCCGCGGACACGCGACAAAGGAGTCCTGCCTTCCTCTTTCCGGGCTTCTTTGGTCTCAGCTCAACCTTTGACAGCAATGTGACGGTCCAGCGCTATCTTATCTTCAAAGGAAGAGTAAGGGGGGGGGGGGGGGGGGGGGGGTCTTGGTTTTGAATTAAAGCTCTGTTGAGTAAAACATAGTTTCAAACGAAAAAAAAAAAAATAATCGATGCACGTCCTTTCGTTTTTTTTTTTTTTTTTTTTTTTTTTTTTTGGAGGGGGGGGGGGAGTTTATAATGACCGCGATTTCATTCAAGAGGCGCAGAAGTGAGCTACGAATTTTGCATTTCAAAGTCATGATTTGTCCTGAAGTTACAATTACCTTTGTTTGTGATGTTAAAACTGGCCGTAAAACGTTGCATCACCCCCCCCCCCCCCCTCCCCTGGGTTTGACCCCTAAATCCGCCCCGAGTTCAAGGGCGATAGCCTATGATTCATAATAATATTAATGTTTATCCGTCAAAAGAGTGAATAACAAAAAGAAACCGAGCAAAAAAAAAAAAAAAAAAAAAGGTACAGTTTGACGAGCACTCACCCCCCCCCCCCCCCCCTTTTCACTACATTTGGCAACAGCGGTACAGGAAAATAAGCACATGAAAACGCAAGAATACGCAGCCCCAAAGAAACAACCATTGAACAGTTTAAAGATGAATATAGAGAAAAAGAAAAAAAGTGTACACAGCAAAATCACATACAGGCACAGTCTACATATCAGTGCAAAGAAAAAAAAAGTAACATGTTTATTACAAAGTTTTAATGGTTATCATTATGCATTTACTGTAAAGTCATGCTTAAAGAAAAAAATGCTCGGAGATCTTGTGCTGATGAATTAGGGAGATGGAAGTTTTGGGTTTTAAAAGAGTGAAGTACTTGAGGATTAAAAACAGCGGAAAAAAAAAACAACGAAGGACCAGACGAAGAGACGAAGAATTATCACAAATGCAGCATAGTTAAGTAATTTAGGAAGTGTACTTGACGACATCTGCTCACCTTATGTTCTTATTTAATTTTCGAGTTTCCAATACTCCGTCTCTCAGGTGGGATAAGTTGTCACTTTTGGCGTTAGGAACGGAAGTTCAAGAAAACTATAAACATTTGTTTTGTACGAATGATTTACAGGTCACATCACAGTCGATATTTATACACAGAATTCACAAGCACCATATTAAAGCACTTATGAAGAGGTTCGCAAGGATGGTCATATGATACATTACAGATGGTTCCTAGAATTTTATTCTTCTGTAAAACGATAATTTTATTTAAATTGGTATGTGTGGTATTCTCACAGACAAAATGACAATAATTTATATGGAAAGAAAATAATAAATAGTAAATGGGTAATTGAACATTTTGCGCTAATGAATTCCTGGCAGCCCAGTTTCAGACAGGAGCTTTACGGCGGTATATATGACACGACTAAAAACGCGGCAACTTGATTCGAACATAAAAAAAAAAAAAT